AAGGTCGCTGGATGAAAATATTCTATATCACTGCTCAAAATCACACCAAAAGGTAGCAGAGTTATGACCATTTTACAGAAGAGGAGATTGAGGCCCGGAGACCGGCAAGCACAAAGCCAGCAGGTGGCGGGACTGGATCTCCGGTATCATCTAACAAATTCAAGGCGTCTGTTTTTTTTCTCTGAGAAAAGAAATGCCTCCAGGCTCAGTGCTCTCGCTTCTGCCTTCCGTCCTTCCACGGGGAGTCGGAGAAATTCCATAAAGGCAAATCAAGCCTCCATGCACAAATCCAAGTAGTGGTGGAGCGAACACCTGTGCCCCCAGCGCCTGCTGGGCGAGGGCCCCGGCTGGATGGGTCGGAAATGTCCGGGTCGGGCGGGCAGGCTAGAGACTAAGGCTTCCCGGGACCACTGGAGCCAAGGACGATGCCGCTGCCCCACAGGGTCCCGGGCTGCTTTGATGCTGGGGTCCCTGCGCGGGTGTGCCCAGGCCTCCTACACACCCACGTCGCGGATCGGGAGCACAACCTCAAAACTCAGCTCGTGAGCGCGTGGGGCCTTTGAAAGCTCGGTTGTGACTCCTGCTTATTTCTGGGAGTGGGGGCGAGGAAAGTCCGGAGCGAGGAAACTACGCCAGCAGGGTCAGCCAGCAGGTGGTGCCAGGGTTAGGACTGGAAATCACGTGCGCGGGATCCGGAGCCGGCCTTCTCCCACCCGCCTCAAGCCCTTGATAGGGCTAGGGGTTGGGAAATGAATGGGCGCTGGAGTCAGCTGGGGGCCGGGCGAGAGGCCGGATGGGGTGACAGTGAACGTGCCTGGGAGAATCCCAAATGTCGCTAACTCAGGCAACCATCCGCACGTCAAAGGTCAGTGGGTAAACAAAGAACCTATGACAATCGAGATGAGCGCATGAACTTTTACCTTTTTCCTAGTCCTGCACATCGTTCTAGCCCCATGGGTCACCTGCACTCCTCCTCACGCTGGGCACAGCTGTCCACGGAAGCTTCGGGATCGTCTGGCCTAGACCCAGGCTGAGGGGTGCGTTGGACCTTCCGCGGAGCTGGGGGAGGGGGCATAAAGGAGAAAGAATGAATAAATAGCCGCTTCTAAAGTTCCACATCGTTTTCTGGCAAATTTTTACTCCCCTCTATAGAGCCAATTAAACACAATAAAAACTTGCAAGGAACCCCTCTTTCTAGCCGAGCGTCGCCAACAATTGCCTAAGGGGTAAACCAAATACGCCTGAGATAATTACACTAAGCCCGGGGCGATGATTTGCCTGCCAGCGTCCTCAGCGCCAGCCAATATTTGTATAGCGTAGTGGTTGTTTTAAAAAATAAAACATTACACGCGGAAACTTGAAACCGACTGCTTGGTGCCAGGGTGGTTACTTGATCTGTTTTTCTTGAACGGGGGTCTGTCTGCAGGCAGCTGGAGCGCGCGCGTACCGGCCCCCGCCGGTGCTGCTGAGCGCCTGCAAAACTTGCCGGAATTAAATCAACCTCGAGGGAAGGAGGGGGAGAGAGGGCGGGCGCGCCCCCCACGGCGGCCGGAGCCGGGCTGCCAGGCCCCGCGCCCCCCGGGAATCCCCCACAATACTCCTCGGCCGCGCTCTCCGCTGCGACGCGGGCCCGGACCGCGGGAGCTGGCTGGGGCTTCGGGGCGGGGAAGTACTTTCTACTCTTGACAAGTCCACCCGGGACGAGGAAGCGTGAAGCTTGGGGCTCTCGCTCGACCTCCGCGGCTCTGACTGGGTTCGAGTTGCTCGGAGCCGCTCAGCCAGCTGAACGCCGCTGGCTCGCCGAGGCGGAAGATGCCGGTCACACGGCTCGCGTCCCCACGAGGTGGTGGCGGCAGGTCCGTGGGCCGGGCCGAGCTCACCCAGCGAGCGTCCGGCTCCAGCTACAGTGCTGAGGTTTTATGCGCCCGCCGCGGGGCCGGAGCACCCTTCAAGGCCCCCTCCCCTTGCTGTCCCCAGACGCCTCGGAGTCCCGTTGCCAGGCGAGAACGTCCTCGAGCTGCTTCCAAACAGGAGGCACGGCTTTTCCCGGAGTGCGCGGAAAAGATCTTTTAACAAAATTTGCCGTTGCCCGCGAGGCGTGCGGGGCCAGGGCCGGAAGAGCCTTTGCGCTCTGGGCATGCCGAGCTCCCACCAGCAGCCCGTCGGGGGCTCTTGGACCTAGACGGGGCTGTTCTCGCGCCACATCCGTCAAGGGAGTAAGGGACACCCGGCGCCAGCGGGCTCTAGCTGTCACTGTAACTGTGGACCTCCTCGGAATTTATCCGTGACTTCTTGAGGCCAGGAGGCCGTCTGCTGCTTGGTTCTTTAAACTTCATCAGCAGACCAAAAATCCCGCAAAAACTCCACTGGCGGAAGGAGGGTTCCCGGCCTGAAGTGACAGCGAAAGCATCCTGCTCTGAAAGGGTTTCCTTTCCTTAGGACAAACCAAGAAGTTGCTCTTTCCCCCTGAGGCCCTCTGGCACGCTCGACATTTAACGCCTATTCTAAAACGTCTGCGGACCTAGAAAAAAACTGGCCAATAGCACTAGCCAGAAATCCAGCTCCTGCCTGAGGATGAATATTGTGAATCTGTTCCGCTCACTGCACTCCTGCAGCCCGACGGGCGAACAGCCCTTCTCCTACGCCTCTTCTTGGGCAGCTCACCAAACGTCGGAAGCTAAAAACACTCGACCTGGTGTCGTCAAGGTGGAAGAGCAAGGGGCAGTCTCCGAAACAGTCTGGGCCAACAGCCTTCTGCCTCCAAATTTAGACACGGAATAGAAGAAATTAAATACAGAATGATCCACAGTCCTTAACTGCTCCTTTCTCCTCAAATCTCCGAACTGGAAGGCACCCGTGAAATTTCCAACTTCACAATCTAATTTTACAAATAAACTGAGGCCAAGAGACAGAAGGAATGTATGTGTATCTGTATATACATATACATATATATGTATATATGTACACATACAATCTCCAAACTCTGCTTTTCCTCTGGCAGAGACAACCAAAACCAGAGTATAACTGCAGGTTCTCTCCAGTCAGTTGGGATTCGCTCATGGGTGTGCAAGAGAATGGAGAGCAGGAAACTGCTTCAGGAATCCCATCAAGCATAGGGATCTCAGCGCTATGGCTCATCCAACCTCACAGATCATATCAGGGCCCTATGGATTGATCATTTTGACCTCCTATTTAATTCTAATTATCTCCTTCTCTCTCGATGTGCTGAAAATAGCAAGACTGCGCTCTGACACACCCAGGTGATGAGACTGCTGAGCTTCCAAGCCCTTCTTCTGGCTCCAGCTCAAATGTTACCACCCAAAGAAACGCTGTCCCATCCAGGCGCTCTTGGTGAGGCCTCCATCCATAAAGCCCTTAGTATCTATCCAAATTTCCCAGCTACTGTCAGTCTCTCCCACTAGACTGCGGTTCTGGAGCGCAAAGAGCTGTTCCAGGCCTCCATGTACCAGGTGCCTATCACTGGGGCCGACACTCAGTTGGCGCGCAATAAAATGGTGATGAAATTGACATTTGGCGAAAACGTCCCTAGCTCTCCTCTGCGATAGCTTTTCCTTCCAACCCTTCGGCCTTTGAGATTACGTGCAGAGAAGAGGTCTCGAGGCCACGGTGCTGTGAACGTGACCCAGAGTGGTTAGTCCAGGAGGAAAGCAGTGTAGAGAGAGAGAAGACCAGAGCGGGTAGGTGGGAAGAGGGAAGCCTGAAAGGGCGGGGACAGGCGGGAGGTTCCAGGAGCGGAACGAGAAAGCAGTCTCCGGTCCCCCTCTACCGTGCGTTGCGACCCGGGTGGGGTGCAGTGGTGGGAACCGTACCGGGCCCCGGGCCCCACCCTGCGAACAGCCTGCGCCCCCCGCCCCACTCCGCCGCGGCTGGGGGCTGCCGAGCGGGTGGGGGCGCCCGAGCCGAGGCGGAGGAGGGGGCGGGGGCGAGGCTCGGCGCCTTCTAGCCCCTTCTTGAGCAAGAGACTCGGCGGCGGCGGCGGCTGAGTCCCTCAGCCTCGGTCATGTGATAGTCTCGAAGCGCGAGCTGCGGGGGTCTCGGCGTCTCGGGGACCGTTACAAAACGCAGTCAGGAGAGCGCGTCGCTACCACAGCCGCCGCCGCCGCCTCTCCAGCTCCAGACCGGCCCGGGAGAGCGGCTGCAACTGAGCGGCCCGGGCCAGCAGCGCGCCCTCCTGGCGCTCGCAGAAGCCCCTCCGCCTACGCCCCGCGTTCAGCGCCCCCGCCCCTCCTCAGGGTCTGCAAGCGCGCGCCGCGGTTCCAGAAACCTACAAACTTTCCCCCCTGCCCCCCACCCCCGCCGCAAGGCGACCGCCTACAGCTCTACCCCCCGGATCCGCTGCTAGCTGCCGGAGAGAAGGGAGACGCGGGCTGCCAGAGTCGAGCTCCCTTGGCCTTACCTCGCCTCTCCTCTCTAGGAGCGCAAGAACTCACAGCGGATTAAGGGACCGGTCAAGGGGCAGCGTGCAGCGCGCTGTTCAGTCCCGCCGCCCCCGGCCTCCTGCACAACGAGCGCCAACTCGGATTTAAAGGGCCAGAGTCTTGACTGCCCAGTCCCTTCCAGCTCTTTGGGCCTGCGCTTCCCTCGGACCGAGAGACGAGACGAAGCCAGAAGGAAACATGGCCCCTCCCGACTCCTCCTCCGCCAGCTCCCACGCTTAACCTCTGGCCACCCGCGGGAAGACGCCGGAAGGGTGGTGGTGAAGCTGGCGCGCCCCGCTTGCGACTGTGCGCGCGGGCTCGCAGCCGTCGAGGCCAGAAGTTGCGAGCGTCGGATTACTAAATTGGGTCTAGAGGCCAAGCGCGCAGACCACAGGCAGCAGGGAGAAGGCGGGAGGGAAACGGCGAGCGGGCCTGGGGGGAAAGAGGGCGGGGTGGCGGGCCTTGGAAGGCGGAGTGCGGGTTAGTGAAGACCGCTAGGCCCCGGGAGTGGGGTGCGGAGCGACGCTGCGGGGCCAGACGGCGGCGGAGGCGCCGGGGGCGATGCCGCGGCCGGGGAAAAGTTCGTACAGCGACCAAAAGCCTCCCTACTCTTACATCTCGCTGACCGCGATGGCCATCCAGCACTCAGCGGAAAAGATGCTGCCGCTGAGCGACATCTATAAGTTCATCATGGAACGCTTCCCCTACTACCGCGAGCACACGCAGCGCTGGCAGAACAGCCTGCGCCACAACCTCTCCTTCAACGACTGCTTCATCAAGATCCCGCGGCGGCCCGACCAGCCCGGCAAGGGCAGCTTCTGGGCACTGCATCCCGACTGCGGCGACATGTTCGAGAACGGCAGCTTTCTGCGGCGCCGCAAGCGCTTCAAGGTGCTGCGCGCGGACCACCCTCACCTGCAGGCTGGAAGCACCAAGGGCGCGCCGGGCGCTGGGCCCGGAGGGCACGTGCACCCCCACCACGCGCATCACCCACACCATCACCACCACGCCGCGGCGCACCATCACCATCATCACCACCACCCGCCGCCGCCGCCTCCCCCGCCGCACATGGTGCACTATTTCCACCAGCAGCCGCCTCCCGCTCCGCAGCCGCCGCCGCCCCTCGCTTCTCCGGAGTACGGCGCCTTCGGGGTGCCGGTCAAGGCCTTGTGCCACTCGGCAAGCCAGAGCCTCCCCGCGGTGCCCGTGCCCATCAAGCCGACTCCCGCGCTGCCTCCAGTGGCCGCGCTGCCGCCGACGCTCGCTGTCCCCGGGGCCACACCGCAGCCGCCGGCGCAGTCCACCGTGTGCCCGGCGGCCGCCGCCTCGCCCGCCGCCCCCCTGATGGAGCCCACCGCCCCCGGCGCGGCCGAGACCAAAGGCGGCTCTCTGCACTCCGTGCTGGTGCGCTCTTAGGGGACCCAGCGGGTTCTCGTGGACAGACGCCGCCCCGGGACCGCCCGCCGGAGAGGGCGAGGGCGCCCTGCCCAGGTCGGGCACAGCTGGCGAGCCCCAGTCTTTGCGGGGAAGGGAAGGTATTTAAACAGACAAACCAACCCGAAAGTGGATTCTCCAGTGGTCTGAATAAATATAACACTGTGTCTGTGTTTATACTACATTGTACAGATTAATGAAAACCAGTTTTCAGGTAAGAGTTTCTATTGTAATTAATATTATAAATCCATAAGTTATGCGGGAAGGGAACAAAAGAGTTTAAGCCTCATTCGCTGACATACTGGAGATGGATTTCGATTCTTATTCCNAGGAGCTTTTCGTGGCCGTTGCCCTCCAGCTTCCTTGGGACAGACGTGTGAGGATGACCGTCGATTTGGTATTCCGTGAGCTGTTGGGGCGCGTTCGTCTTTCAGGCGAACTCCTCAGTTTCAGTCCGTGAATGGAAAAAAAAACTTGCCTTGCGGCTGTTGCTCGTCCTCGTTTTTGAGCCCCGGAACAGCACTTTGCTCGCGACAAACGTTTGGAACGAACGGGGGCGGGTAGGGAGGAGGCCGCTGACCGTGCCCCGAGTCACCTCTGGCTTGTGTCCGCGCCGCGTTCGGGTTGTGACTTTGTGCCAAGTTCATGTCTGCCTGTGTTGTACGCGGTGTTCGCCATTAAAGCTTCTCTCTGGATGTGCCGGTGTGAAGGTGTTTCGCTTCTCAAGAGACGAGGCCGCGGTGTGAGTGCCCACTGGGGGAAAATCGGGACGTGGCACATCTTCCTCTTCCCTTTTCATTTCAAACTTGTGAGCATCAAGAGGATGAGTTCACAGGAGGGGCCGCGCCTGAACAGGCTTCCTCCTCCGTGCCTCCTTTTATCAGCTGGCGCAGTAACTGAATCTCTACCACCCATTCTTCCGCTGCTTTCCTAACCAAGCTCTAGTCCACCTCAGTGGGAGAGGCCGGGTTAGGGGAAAAAACCCGCAACAAGGAACTTCTGTTCCTACGTGAGGGTTATTAGCAACACATCATCACCAATACCCTTTCCCTTTTCTGAGGGTTTCTCTGACCCTCTTTTGAGAGTGGGCCCGGCCGGGTCCCGGTGTCATTGGATGGGTGCCGCGGCGCCCCACTAAGTCTGCGGGGCGGGCTCGCGGCGGGGAGGAGGGCGCCCGGACGCCGCCACTGCCGCCGCGGGCCACACTCCCAAGAAGCGCGCGCCCAGCCGCGGCGGCCTAGGGGACCTGTTGCGTATCCTCCGCAGCCTGGGTCCTGGGAGAGCCGGGGGCCCCGCAGCCGACCGCAGCCCGTGCTCGCTGGAGAGACCCTGAGGGCTGCAACCCCGGCGGAGCTACGCGGGGAAGTGGTGGGGCGCCGCGAACAGGGCTCCATCTAGAACCAGCCCAGCAGATGCCCGCCTCTAACCTTTTCATCAGAAGAAAATAAACTGCCAACAAAATGACCTGCTCACAGCAATGACACTAAGGGGATTTGCATTGCTTCTTAAAAATAAAAATTTCCATACATCCCGTATTTGCAAGTCCCATTGGTGACTCAGACGGTAAAGCGTCTGCCTACAATGCGGGACATCCAGGTTCAATCCCTGGGTTGGGAAGATCCTCTGGAGAAGGAAATGGCACCCCACTCTAGTACTCTTGCCTGGAAAATCCCATGGACAGAGGAGCGTGGTAGGCTACAGTCCATGGGGTCACAAAGAGTCGGACACGACTGAGCGACTTCACTTTCGCTTTATTGCACCCGTTCAGCTAAGTTTTGGGCTCGCCTGCGAGGCAAGTCTCAATGGAGGTCTCTGCCTCCTTGGGGGCCCAAGCAACTGTAGTGTATCCCAACTTTAAGCTTGAGACTGCAAAGATTCCTGCCGGTTTTCCTTTACAATAATCAGAGAGTGTTGAAAGACAGAAAAGGGAAGCCACTGGCGTGGGCAGCATAGACTTGAGGAGACTTGGGAGCCTGACTGCTTGGTCCACCTCTGGGTGAGTGGTGCCCTGAAGCTCCAGGCTGGGACCCCTAGTGTGGGGAGGGCAAGTCATCAGGCCAAAGAATGGCAGTCACTGGATCCCAGTGATTTCTTCTAAAGAACATCTCTTCTTCCTTCTCCACCTGCCCCAAAGGGTTAGTGGGCTTTTTTTTTTTTTAGCAGTGCCCATTTTCCCACTTCCTGTAGAGGGGCACAGTCCAAAATGACATCCAGAACCCAGGGGGCTAGCTAAAGTGATAGTCTGTCCTGAAAAGCAAGGAGCCTCTGGGCCAACTCAGCAGAGAAGGATGAGTAATTGATCCTCTGCATTTCCCAGGACACTCTTAGCAACTCAGTCTCACAGCCCCCAGTTCCCAGAACCTCTCCTCCCTCTGTGGGGAAAGCATGGTTGTTGTGCCTAGTTTTTACTATGAGAGAGAGAAAGGAGAAGGAAAGGTAAAGTGAGCTGAGAGATGATTCTACTCAAGTTTTCATCAAGAGGAGAACCTGCTACCCAACAGAAGCTATACATGGCATTGATGTTGTAGAACAAAGGAATTCATGTAAATAAACAAAGTGGGGGGAGCTTTCTGTCAAAGCTCTGATCCCACGGGAGGTCCCAATTAAACCCTCATACTGACAATCCTGAAGATCCCCCTCTTAACTAGGGTGGGATCTGAAATCTAACTGTAACTCTCAACTGAGTCGTGATTTCATTATGATCTCTCACGTGGTTCTCCCTCTAGTTACATGTTGGAATAGAGAGAAAGTAAGTTCTGGACATCAGTGAGATAGAAATAGAGACATTTACAAATGTATGACCATCTCAGTTCACAAGATAAATAAAATCACTCTTGGTTTATCAAGTACTAGTGGAGAGAACCTGAAATTATGCTCCTTGTTTCCAGGATGATAGAAAACATTGTAGTGGCTTAGCCTGTATACTACTTCAGGCACGGAAACTTAAGAAACATGGGGAGAAGCAAAGAGGAGGGACGAAGATTTTAATGTAGCTGCCCTTAAAATTAAAATAGAAGGAAAACAACTTGGAATGATCTATTTGATAACATTTCCTTGGGGAGCTGAGAAGAGAGCTCAGGGCTGAGGGAGGACAAAGCTATTTTAGCTGTGGTCCCTAGGAGAACAAGCCCTCCTGCAAAGGCCAGAACTAGCACATTTGTCATCTGGCACTTAGAAAGCCTGTCAGTCAGGCTGGTTTGTGGTCAATTATCTCCTTAAGTAGACTGGCATTAGTCCAGCCAGGGAGGAGGGCTGGTTGTATCCACTGAAATCAGAGCCAGTTAGCTGGAAGTGGCACTGCTGAACTCCAAGCATCTTTGCATTTGGGAGGTTTGGAAAGCAGATCAACGCATGTTCTGCTGGGACTCAAAGGTGACATTTGCTTGCTTGGCAATAGTACAGCAAGACTGCAGAAAAGGATAGAAGTGGTGCCTTAGGAGAAGAAACCTTGCCCACCAAAGCCACTGGTTCCCTTTAAATTCCATTCACCTGACAAAACTGCTGCTTCTGAGATGCAAAAATTATAGAGATCCCAGTAAATTGTGCTGGGATTTGACTTCTCCATTGATAAGAATTCTCACCCATTGTACCTGACTATGAGATAGGCAGAAAGGGTAGTTTGGGGTCATGTTCAGGTTTGGATGTTATTCAAAGGTTTGAAGTAGTATTAGTGTTCATCTGATTGTGTGTATATGATTCTACATGGGGTGTGGGTCAGGGTGGAATCGGCATTGAAGATGGAAAACTACAGAAATGGCTTCAAAAAGTCAATGATAACCTCTTTGTGGGTGAAAATGCAGAACAGGAATCCAAGTGAAGGTAGGAAGTTCTTAAATTCCAAAGGGCAAAACTGTTTCTTCAAGTCCAACATTTTCATTTTGTTCATTGAAAGTATTTTCATTAACTTTATCTTTCAAAGCTGAAATACTACCTTGTACTCCTTGGGGGAGATTGAAGAGATTTGCTTGGGTTTGAATTCAGTCTTAAGCCATTGTTTAAATGTATGAGTTTGGCAAAACTCCAGATGTACTCTGTCCCAAGCACTTTCCCCCTTAACTATCCTCTGTGTATTTTAAGGAAAATTCAAGCCACATGTTGCTCTTTCTCCCTTGCATTCAAATGTAGTTTTATTGAATTTTAGCATGGCCCATGAAATTTAAATTCTGAGTTTTAAGCCATAATATATTCGTATGGTCTATAAGCAGTCACATGATATGCACACATATCATTAAGCAGAAAATAAAGCCTCTGAGAACTGTAGTCATATTATTATAGTAACATTTCTTTAGACAGAAGAGCCATGCTGAGAGTGCCATATTAAAAAAGTATTTTATAAAATTATCAAAAAATTCAAGAAACTAACTTAGTGACTCATGCAAATACTTTAAAAGAGTATTGCTAGGAAGATATTTTGGTTGCATTTAGTTTGGGCCAAATAGTTCTTTCCTGACATGAGGAACAGGTCTTTTATGTGCACAAGACACCCAGACTTTGCTTGTGAGTCACAAATCTCATTATGGCAGCATCATTTTTAAAATGCTTTGGAATAAGCTTTCTCATCTGAGCCACTTCCAGTCCTGTCAGCACCGTCACAGACAGGGTGATTTTACTGTTACTGAGGATATATGCTCAGTAAGGAGCTGGAGAGCTGCAGTCCAGACACAGCTGAACTAGATTCATTCTAGAAAGGATTTACAACACTGAAATGTACAGATGAAAAGGGCAGGGAAGACAGTGGGACAGAGGGAAGGAGGAAAGATGGAGAGAAGAAAGAAGGAAGGAAGGAAGGAAGCGGAGCGTGAGAGACAATGTGTGCATCTAGTACTGACAAAGCAAACAAAATTTTTAGTAACAATTTTTAACATAGTACTGCTTTGGTTTTCTCTCAGAAAACTGTAGATCGATTCTTTCAATGTGTGTGACTCTGTAACTACCTGACTGATGTCATTTTGCCTTAAAAGCAATATTCCTCTTCTCTTAGC